GTAACATCAATGTAAAAGAAACTTAGTTCAAACATGGATGTGACATAGATATTTCATCCATGTAACATCAATGTAAAAGAAACTTAGTTCAAACATGGATGTGACATAGATATTTCATCGATTTAAAATCAAGTAAGAAGAAACTTAGTTCAAACATGGATGTGACTTAGATATTTCATCAATGTGACATCAATGTAAGAAGAAACTTAGTTCAAACATGGATGTGACATAGATATTTCATCGATATCACTTCAATGTAAGAAGAAATTTAGTTCAAACATGGATGTCACATAGATATTTCATCGATGTAACATCAATGTTAAGAAGAAACTTGGATCAAACATGGATGTGACATAGATATTTCATCAATGTAACATCAATGTGAGAAGAAACTTAGTTCAAACATGGATGTGACATAGATATTTCATCGATGTAACATCAATGTAAAAGAAACTTAGTTCAAACATGGATGTGACATAGATATTTCATCGATGTAACATCAATGTAAAAGAAACTAAGTTCAAACATGGATGTGACATAAATATTTCATCGATTTAACATCAAGTAAGAAGAAACTTAGTTCAAACATGGATGTGACTTAGATATTTCATCAATGTGACATCAATGTAAGAAAAAACTTAGTTCAAACATGGATGTGACATAGATATTTCATCGATATCATTTCAATGTAAGAAGAAATTTAGTTCAAATATGGATGTGACATAGATATTTCATCGATGTAACATCAATGTTAAGAAGAAACTTGGTTCAAACATGGATGTGACATAGATATTTCATAAATGTAACATCAATGTAAGAAGAAACTTAGTTCAAACATGGATGTGACATAGATATTTCATCGATGTAACATCAATGTAAGAAAAAACTTAGTTCAAACATGGATGTGACATAGATATTTCATCGATGTAACATCAATGTAAGAAGAAATTTAGTTCAAACATCAATGTGACTTAGATATTTCATCAATTTGACATCAATGTTAGAAGAAACTTAGTTCAAACATGGATGTGACATAGATATTTCATCAATGTAACATCAATGTAAAAGAAACTTAGTTCAAACATGGATGTGACATAGATATTTCATCGATTTAACATCAAGTAAGAAAAAACTTAGTTCAAACATGGATGTGACTTAGATATTTCATCAATTTGACATCAATGTAAGAAGAAACTTAGATCAAACATGGATGTGACATAGATATTTCATCGATATCACTTCAATGTAAGAAGAAACTTAGTTCAAACATGGATGTGACATAGATATTTCATCGATTTAACATCAATGTAAGAAGAAACTTAGTTCAAACATGGATGTGACATAGATATTTCATCGATGTAACATCAATGTAAAAGAAACTTAGTTCTAACATGGATGTGACATAGATATTTCATCGATTTAACATCAAGTAAGAAGAAACTTAGTTCAAACATGGATGTGACTTAAATGTTTCATCAATGTGACATCAATGTAAGAAGAAACTTAGTTCAAACATGGATGTGACATAGATATTTCATCGATATCACTTCAATGTAAGAAGAAATTTAGTTCAAACATGGATGTGACATAGATATTTCATCGATGTAACATCAATGTTAAAAAGAAACTTGGTTCAAACATGGATGTGACATAGATATTTCATCAATGTAACATCAATGTAAGAAGAAACTTAGTTCAAACATGGATGTGACATAGATATTTCATCGATGTTACATCAATATAAAAGAAACTTAGTTCAAACATGGATGTGACATAGATATTTCATCGATTTAACATCAAGTAAGAAAAAACTTAGTTCAAACATGGATGTGACATAGATATTTCATCAATGTAACATCAATGTAAGAAGAAATTTAGTTCAAACATGGATGTGACTTAGATATTTCATCAATTTGACATCAATGTAAGAAGAAACTTAGTTCAAACATGGATGTGACATAGATATTTCATCGATGTAACATCAATGTAAAAGAAACTTAGTTCAAACATGGATGTGACATAGATATTTCATCGATTTAACATCAAGTAAGAAAAAACTTAGTTCAAACATGGTTGTGACTTAGATATTTCATCAATTTGACATCAATGTAAGAAGAAACTTAGTTCAAACATGGATGTGACATAGATATTTCATCGATATCACTTCAATGTAAGAAGAAATTTAGTTCAAACATGGATGTGACATAGATATTTCATCGATGTAACATCAATGTTAAAAAGAAACTTGGTTCAAACATGGATGTGACATAGATATTTCATCAATGTAACATCAATGTAAGAAGAAACTTAGTTCAAACATGGATGTGACATAGATATTTCATCGATGTTACATCAATATAAAAGAAACTTAGTTCAAACATGGATGTGACATAGATATTTCATCGATTTAACATCAAGTAAGAAAAAACTTAGTTCAAACATGGATGTGACATAGATATTTCATCGATGTAACATCAATGTAAGAAGAAATTTAGTTCAAACATGGATGTGACTTAGATATTTCATCAATTTGACATCAATGTAAGAAGAAACTTAGTTCAAACATGGATGTGACATAGATATTTCATCGATGTAACATCAATGTAAAAGAAACTTAGTTCAAACATGGATGTGACACAGATATTTCATCGATTTAACATCAAGTAAGAAAAAACTTAGTTCAAACATGGTTGTGACTTAGATATTTCATCAATTTGACATCAATGTAAGAAGAAACTTAGTTCAAACATGGATGTGATTTAGATATTTCATCGATGTAACATCAATGTAAAAGAAACTTAGTTCAAACATGGATGTGACATAGATATTTCATCGATTTAACATCAAGTAAGAAGAAACTTAGTTCAAACATGGATGTGACTTAAATATTTCATCAATGTGACATCAATGTAAGAAGAAACTTAGTTCAAACATGGATGTGACATAGTTATTTCATCGATATCACTTCAATGTAAGAAGAAATTTAGTTCAAACATGGATGTGACATAGATATTTCATCGATGTAACATCAATGTTAAAAAGAAACTTGGTTCAAACATGGATGTGACATAGATATTTCATCAATGTAACATCAATGTAAAAGAAACTTGGTTCAAACATGGATGTGACATAGATATTTCATCGATGTAACATCAATGTTAAAAAGAAACTTGGTTCAAACATGGATGTGACATAGATATTTCATCGATGTAACATCAATGTTAAAAAGAAACATAGTTCAAACATGGATGTGACGTAGACATTTCATCGATGTAACATCAAGTAAGAAAAAACTTAGTTCAAACATGGATGTGACTTAGATATTACATCAATTTGACATCAAGGTAAGAAGAAACTTAGTTCAAACATGGATGTGACATAGATATTTCATCGATATCACTTCAATGTAAGAAGAAACTTAGTTCAAACATGGATGTGACATAGATATTTCATCGATGTAACATCAATGTAAGAAGAAACTTAGTTCAAACATGGATGTGACATAGATATTTCATCGATGTAACATCAATGTAAAAGAAACTTAGATCAAACATGGATGTGACATAGATATTTCATCGATTTAACATCAAGTAAGAAGAAACTTAGTTCAAACATGGATGTGACTTAAATATTTCATCAATGTGACATCAATGTAAGAAGAAACTTAGTTCAAACATGGATGTGACATAGATATTTCATCGATATCACTTCAATGTAAGAAGAAATTTAGTTCAAACATGGATGTGACATAGATATTTCATGGATGTAACATCAATGTTAAGAAGAAACTTGGTTCAAACATGGATGTGACATAGATATTTCATCGATATCACTTCAATGTAAGAAGAAACTTAGTTCAAACATGGATGTGACATAGATATTTCATCGATATCACTTCAATGTAAGAAGAAACTTAGTTCAAACATGGATGTGACATAGATATTTCATCGATGTAACATCAATGTAAGAAGAAACTTAGTTCAAACATGGATGTGACATAGATATTTCATCGATGTAACATCAATGTAAAAGAAACTTAGATCAAACATGGATGTGACATAGATATTTCATCGATTTAACATCAAGTAAGAAGAAACTTAGTTCAAACATGGATGTGACTTAAATATTTCATCAATGTGACATCAATGTAAGAAGAAACTTAGTTCAAACATGGATGTGACATAGATATTTCATCGATATCACTTCAATGTAAGAAGAAATTTAGTTCAAACATGGATGTGACATAGATATTTCATGGATGTAACATCAATGTAAGAAGAAACTTAGTTCAAACATGGATGTGACATAGATATTTCATCGATGTAACATCAATGTAAAAGAAACTTAGTTCAAACATGGATGTGACATAGATATTTCATCGATTTAACATCAATATAAGAAGAAACTTAGTTCAAACATGAATGTGACTTAGATATTTCATCAATGTGACATCAATGTAAGAAGAAACTTAGTTCAAACATGGATGTGACATAGGTGTTTCATCGATTTAACATCAATGTAAATAGAAACTTAGTTCAAACATGGATGTGACTTAGATATTTCATCAATGTGACATCAATGTAAGAAGAAGCTTAGTTCAAACATGGATGTGACATAGGTATTTCATCGATTTAACATCAATGTAAGAAGAAACTTAGTTCAAACACGGATGTGACTTAGATATTTCATCAATGTGACATCAATGTAAGAAGAAACTTAGTTGAAACATGGATGTGACATAGATGTTTCATCGATATCACATCAATTTTTCGAATTAAGTATTTTAAAAACAATGAAAATAGAAAAAACATAGTTTATCTATGTATTTGTGCTGGTACATCCCTGAAATATGTCAAAGCAATGCAATAACAATGACACTTTTCTGAATTGCAATGGAACTTCAACCCGGACTAGTACTAAAATCTGTTTGTTTAAAAATATTCTCTCAAGAATCATAAATCAAATGCTAAGCTGCTGGGACGCTGTAAGAGTATTTGTACCAGGTTTTCAGAAGTGCGGCGTAGTGAAGACGCAGTAACGCCCTGAGTTCCTGTAGTCTCGACCACTCTCCCCCTATTTGCTCGAAGACCGTCTCCCCCATTAGAGTTTCGACATACTCTGGCGTCGTCCAACTGCCCCACCTCGCGTGAACTTTTGGCTCCATTAGTTGCGGTCTAATTGCAAAAATAATTCAGTAAATTTTAAAAATAGAAATATCAAGTTAAGGCGATTTAAAAACAATAAAAAGGACCAACATACGAGTTGTTAAACTCATTGTGGAGAACCGCTGTTGTGTGCTTCTGCCCCTGGCTTAGATTTTTTTTTAATTTTCTCTTTCTCAAAAAAGTTAACTTGAAAAACTAGAATCCCACGCTTTAAATACTGGAACAGCGAGGACAGGGGCTGATGCAAGTCTCTCGAGAGTTGGTTTGAACTCCCCGAAAAGTAACAAGTGTTTGGTTGTGAAAACCGGGCCAATGTGTTTTTTATATATATCATAGATTCCTTGCCAAAAAAACAAACGTTTTAGTTGGTGTGCGAGTAGCCCGAATTACCTAAATACAAAAATATGAAAAGCAATTAAAAATTAGTAATAAATAAAAAAAATAATATGATTTTTTCGAAATTTATTTTTTTAATTTATCCAAAAAAATATCTGGGTCGAAATTCTTCAAAAATGAGGATGAATAGTTTCACGACAAATTTATAAAAATTGGGCTTTTTATTATGATCTGACAATAACTGGTATGATATATTTTTATCTAAAAAATTGAGCTCAACCATCCCACAGGATAAAAAAGTAAACGGTTGCTGAGACTTTCACAGAATTTCCGATCACAGTTACCATTGTTCTATTTTCAATATAGATTCGAAATGTCGCTTAATTTAATTTCAATAGCAAACAGTTCGGCAGAGTCGTTTCAGAGATATAGAAAACTTTTTAAAAGTTGTTTTAAAATCAGAATCATGACTTTTGTAAGTTAATTCTCATGATCTGGATTGGCCGAACAAAAAAAGATTCAGATGGGACTAACTTTGACTTGGGAAATTTGCAGTGACACGAAACTTTTTTAGCCCATTTGTATGGCTGGTGCGAACATTTTAGCCAACCTAAAAAATTATGTCGAAAGTCATTGTTCCGATCTGTTCACGATGTGGCTAGGAAGTATGGCGACCGATCTGTTTTTTTTTCAGTCAGTTTTTGCTATCTCAAAAAACATTCAAAATGAATCAAGTGTGGCATAATGTTTAAGCCCTTTCAGCTATGATTTCGATTCAAAAGAACTATTATTATTTTTGAAAAAACTGTGTCGAAAAAATTGATCTTGATTTTTTCTTGTTTTGACTGAGTTTCGAATCTAATTTTTCTGGGGTTTTTATAATAATTTTACTTATTAGTAATAGCTGATTCATTTGGCTGATTGACCAATTAAATGACCTCTCACACGCTAAAAAAGCAACAAAAACCTCTTAAAACATTTAAATTTTGTAATTTTCAATCTTATCTGTATGTTTTAATATTAAAAATCGAGATTCAAACAATTTGTGTTATATTCACAGCAACCGGCTATCTTTGTTTTAATAGGAAGTTAAAAGGTTATTGACCAGGAATAACATCAACTTCTCACCATCGGAAATCTAGAGAAGAAAAGCATATTGAGCCTACAAATAATCGTAAATATATAAATCTATGAAATACTTAACGGAATTATGAAATTGAAACTATGGTTGGAAACTCCTATGCCTAACTAAATTGTAAACTTACAATTTCATAGAATGTGTGGTTATAAGTTTCTGACTTAAATTTTTTTTTATTATTATTATTATGATAAAGAATTAAAATGTACCGCGGTAAAGGATTAAAATATTTAATTAAAATGTACCGCGGGTTGCTTGTTGCTGCTTGAAATGAGTCGGCGGAATCGGGTGATCGTGTTAGTGAGGTTGTTGCGAAAGTTCCTCCCTACGAAAGCGTAGATGATTGGGTTTACGGTACTACCCAAAAAAAAGAGTAGACGACAGAGGAGCGAGCCCAGCAACTCGGCTGTGCTGAATTTATGGTTCTCGTCCAGCATTCGAACCCTGAAAAATCATGAATTGGATAAGTTTAATAGGCACTAATAACTTTTAATGTGATGATATAGTATGATGTCTGCATCTTATAACGTGCAATTTTTCAGTTGCCATTACGTACACTTTTTGAGCTTTCTATTTGGCGTGTGTGTGTGGGTTAGAGGGGGGGGGGGTTGTTTCATACCTTGATCTAAAGAAAGTTGCTATAAGAGACGCCCCGAATTATACAATTCAGTCCATGGTGGATAGTTACATCTCTAGTAACAAATCTAATCTTTTATTATTAAAACCCTATTTACTCGGCACGCCACAGTTTTGTTACTATTTTATCAGATCCATTTTTGGCTGAACGACGTAAAATATTTCTAAAAGCGCCTTCGGCGCCAATTTATACTAATTTTGAAGGGGTAGCGTGCGCCAAAAAACGCGGTTATTCGTTTGAACTTTCCAAAAAAATATTTAATATTTGTTATGTTCAGCATAAAACAATTAAGGTTTACACCACCCCTGGATGAATTCTTGCTATTTTTGCAACATTATACTCAAAACAAAATGTAAACAAAGCTCAGAATTTAGAAATCTGATGTAAAGCCTCTACAGAGATTAAACTGTTGAAAAAATGGAACTTTTTGCTTAAAGTGATTTACCTAATTTTGATTCTAAAGGTAAATTGGCAAAAAATTTAATGAAAAGCAAAATGAAAAATTACTACGTTTTTTTTCATATTTTTAAACGAAATTAAAGAAGAAAATACAAGAAAATACACTGTAATTAGTTTCCAGAAAGAAATTGTGCAGACTGAAGAGCAGGCTGCTTTGAGCAATACAGCACAATTAGTAAAATAAAACAAGCTCACACTAAATGCGGATAAAACAAAATTTTTACTTTTCAGCAAATCAAACCGGAAAACAAATTAAAACTCGAAACTGTTAACTCAAAAATCAGCCAACTGAGCGAAAAAAAACTTCCAGATAACTTGGAATTCATATAGATGAACAGTTGAACTTCGGTGAACACATTGATTTATCGGCAAGAAGTCACGAAGTCTTGCAGAAATTTCTATTTTATAGCTTAAGAAAATTTCTTTCGACCAAGCACCTTGTAATAACTTTCAAAACTGTCGTGCAGCCTTTTTTACACTATGGCGTTTTGGCGTACGCATCTACAAAGAAGACCAAAGCAGAGTTTTTAGATCGACAAGTGAAGCGCTTGTTCAGAATTATCCTAAGAGCAGGTAAATACCAATCAACCCAAAATGAAAGATTGAAAATCAAGTTATTTTGCGAAGTAGCTCCATTTGGATGAGCTAGTGAAAAGAGTATCTAAAGATCTCAGATGTGAAAGCCCTATTCAAATTTCGAACGAGCTCATTACGGAAAATGAAGAAAACAAATTTTCAGGGGTGCGCAGTACTGCATGAAGACTGCCAACAAGAGCACATATAAACCCAAATGAGTCAATTGTTGTTAGGCTAAGAAAAATATTAAACATTATTCTAAATTATCACCCTCGAAAACATAAAGGGTTCTTCTGCCCACAGAGTAGATTTATTCAATCATAATTTTCTAGACTGCTACATCCTGGATAACGAAGAACTCTTACTAAAAATTTGCTCTGAGCTACCTGTGAACGGACCTGTAGGTCCAATGGCGCTCTCTTAGGCAGTAAAAATTTTTGGCGTGTTTTGTAAATTTACTAACTACCCACAATTGAATTGCCTGAAAATAATTTTTTATCAATATATCAAACGCTTAAATTAGAAGTGATTATTTTTCTCTCGTAGCCATCCATAGAGATGACAGAGTTTTTGGTTACTTTTTTGGACAAATTCATCTCATTTACGTATAAACATGGTGGTAACTTTTTTCTCATTGGGCTTGGCGACAATAGAATCTAAAAAATTGCAAGAAAATCATCCTGCACACTGTTTTTTCGAATAATACTTAGTTGATGCTGCGAGGTTTAAAATGTCACAGAGTGCAGTAAGGACACTTGATATTTTGCTCCGTTTTGTTCCTCAGCAAAACTTTAGCTAAATTATCAATTCGGCGTCAATTTCTAAAAAAAAATAAACGCTTAAGTGATCTGATTTCCGCTTGAAAACACTTGCATCTCAGACATTCGATTTACATGGTTCAGTATGAAGCTAGTGATGAAACATCGGTCTTTCTTATCATAATCTTGGGTAGTAACTAAAATTAAGGAGCCGTTGTAGTTATAATTTTGCTATAAGTAAAAGGCTATTAGCTATAGAAGACATGCCCGCATGCAGTTTCAAGCGTTAATTATGGATTATATTACAATTTTAGTACCAGTCTTATTAAAATTGAGAGACAATCGATTTTATTCAACTAATAATTTATTAAAATCTCTTTCTTAAGATCAAGTTATTTTTAATTTTAATCCATTATAATCGATTATAATCAATTATTTAGTCGTCTGTTTTTGATACAATTAGAATCGATTATAAGTGATTATAATCCATTATTTTCATTCAAATTTCTAATACATTAGTTTTGCACAAAAGTCCATTATAATCGATTATAATTGATTATAATCCCTTTTGTTTGTCCATTTCGAAGTTGCATCTAAATTGCGTATATTTTATGCTTTTTGTAGACGCTGGTTCCTATGAAAAATGAGAAAAATGTTTTGAAAGTTTTCCAATCAATTCAATTTTATAAGGTTTTTTTTTCATTTCTTCCCCGTTAGAGTTGTTTTGTGATGCATATTTTAAGCTTTTTAAACACTAAAACATCAGCAAAATGATTTAGTTTCATGATTGATTCGGGAGATTTATTTTTCTTCTACCGCGGGAATCTTTCCACTAATATGAAAGGGTCTCTATGAAACTTCTGTTTCGAGGTAAAACTTTGTGTTCAGATGAACCAAGGTGTTCAAGAGATCTCTCTTTTAGAGATTTTCTTTTTGACACAAAATAATAAGCGATAACATATAATTCGAATATAGTTTTGAACTGACAAAATTTTGGCAAAATAAGAGGTTATAATTGATTATAATTGATTCTAAGTGTTTTTTTGTAAGAACTATAAACAATTATAATCAAATATAAATCCTTTAAACACCTGTTTTTGATAATTATAATCAGTTATAATTGTCAAAAAATCATCGTAATAATCCGTTATAATCGATTATTTACGCCTAAACTTGGATGCGGGTAAGAACTTAATCTCAAAGGTTGCCTTTCTGAAATACGAAAAGTCATTTAAAAATGTAATTTCTGCAAATTGTAGATGAACTATGAAAAGCTATCCGACCATATCACGCCTAACACATAACTGCCTAAACTATTTTGTTGAGCGAAGCTCTTTTCAGCAACTCAAGTCCACTCAATTGCGCATTGAAGTTTCACGTGGCACCACTATTGCATCCAAAATCGGTCAGCATGTAGTAGACCTGAAGCTAGAGGTCATGCGAGAGCTCTTTAATGGCAGGGGGACGAATGCAAGACTTGACGATCTCAAAAAGAACGCCCTACTTCTATGCTAAGTGTACCCGTACTGGAGTTTCATGGATAAAAAATATATTGCATTTCCGTCTCCATAAAACTTCTAAAAAAATTGATCATAACCCATTTAAAATGGATTATGATTATGCTGCTTTTCTGAGCAGCAACATTTTTCTTTTGTACTATTTTGAGATATCTATGTTTGGCTGACTGAACTTAAAATATTTTTAAAGGCGCCTTTGGCGCCAATCTATCCTAATTTTGAGGGGGGAATGCGCGCCAAAAAAACGCGATTTTTTTCGAAATTTTTCAAAAAGTGCCTAAAAGCGCAGAAAAGTGCGGCGCAGAAAATTTCATCAAATTAGAACCTTTATAGTGGTTTTGGAGAGCAGAAAATCAATTTGGTTGACCTAAAAAATAAATCAAAATTGTTTCGAAAATCCGCCCCCCCCCCCTCCCCTCGAGAAAATCTTCTTAGATCCGCACTTGATTCATCGTCAATATTTTTTTGTGAAAATCTGTACATGAAACCCCTGAAAATCATTTAAAGCCAGTTATTACTACTAAATTTAAGTTTCCAGTTAACTCTTTCTGGAATTCGAAGTTTTCGACTTTTTTTGATCATAAGAAACACAGTGTAAAGATCAACTTTTTGGTTAACATAGTGTGACTGCAAAAATAGTAATATGTTCAAAGCATCTTTCATTTAGTAAGGACAACTTTGAAGACTTATCGAAAAAAAAATTCCTTTATTTTTGTCAAAACCTGCCCTCTTATAAGGTTTTTCAGGAATTTCATTGGTAGATGCATCTGGTTTTTGAATGAGATTGAAAGAATTGGAGTGTTAATGGGGTGCTGGCTGTTAGACGAAGTTGATGGTTTGAATGGGGTATTGTTACCTGATGATGAAGTTGATGGTGTGAATGGGGGTCCAAATGATGATGAAGCAGAGAGTGATGATGGACACCATGAAAGTCACCCTTTTCCTCCTCCTCATCAACAGCTCCCGATTGCCCACGTTCTCGGTCACTACAACAAACAAAACAACAACAAAATTAACAAAAATAACAATAAGGCCAAGATTGATCCCCGCCAAGGTCCTTTTTGTCCATGCAGCTGATTGATGGACACCAATTTTATGAAAAAGAAACCGAATGATCCCAAAACAAAACAAAATTGCTCATATCAGGGCAAAATCTTGAATGTTTCGACAGCCTTTTTAGGTCTATGGAGCAGTAACTACATGAAAAAATTAAATGTAATAAATAAAATGAAAACAAAAATTAAAGAGAAGTACAAAGTGATAGATTTTGCTCATATTAACAAATCAATCATGGCAAATAAGCTTCCTTCAACCAATTTGGATCGATTTCTAAGACGGATTAAATATCCGCATACGCATTACTAGCGCGAAATATATCGTGCGTTAATTTGTTCCAAATTGGCCAAAATGTCAATCTTTAAATCCCCCTAACTTTACGAAAAATGATCACCGGTGATGAAATTTTCAAATTTAATTTTAGGATAGCAATAACTTTTGAATGATATTAAAAATTCCGCCAAAAATGACTAGTTAAAGAGTCAAAATTTATCTGGCGAAAAAACCACCACCGCACAAGTAGTCCGTTACTTTCAGTGAGAAAGTCGGAATAATAACAAGACTGCTTGTATCAGGGCGAAGCCCTGAATGTTCCGACTGCCTTTTCAGGTCTATGGAGCAATAATAGCATGAAAAAATTAAATTGAATTTTTTTTTAATTTGAGATTTTTTGTGAAAATTATCCCCCCACACGCCATATAAAACACAAGGTGATAAATTTCGCTCTTAGTAACACGTCAATTATGGCAACTAAGCTTCCTTCAACCAATTTGGAACAATTTCTAATGCGGAATAAATCTCCGCTTACGCGTTAACAGCGCGAAATATATCGAGCGTTAATTGTTTCATATTGGCCAAAATGGCAATCTTTAAACTCCTATAACTTTGCAAAAAAATGATGACAGGTGAAATATCTTTTCAAATTTAAGCTCAAGACAACAAAGCCTTTTGAGTGATATAAGAAAAAGTTTGTCAAAAATGGCTTGTTAAAAAGTAGAAACTTGTCTGAAGAAAAAAACCCACCCCGAGCACAAATCTTCCGTTACTTTCGTTACAAGCGAACAATAAGCCAAACTGTTTTCAAGATTGGTTTTCAAAACCCTGAATGTTCCGACTGTCCCTTAATTCATCTCGGACAGTTTTTGGGAAAAAAATATTAAAAACCTATACATTTTGGTCAATATCAAAAGATGAAATTTTGAGTCGTACGAAATTAATACGACCAGTTAGCTAGCCTCAATTCAATTTGGAGCAATTTTGTTGTGCGGGATATTTCGTCACGCATAAATAATTCACATTACGCACCCAGCATTCTTAATAAACTCTTCAAAGCGCGCATAATTTAGTCCAGAACATGACCAACTTGGCAACATTCAGATGCTCAAAATTTTACAAACAAAACTGAGGTAAAAAAATCTTTTTAAATTTGAACTCAGGTAAAAAATCTCTTTTGGGTAACTTTTTTTTGAAATTTGAAGTCGATGTTTTTAATGTAGTACAAAAAACTTTGTTGAAAACTATTACTTCGATCGGCGAAAAGTGACAGATTAAAAGAAACCACACCGAGCATAAATCTTCCGTTTTCTTCGAAAGTCGGAACAATAAGTCGGCACACATTAAAATATCAAAGTCACAACCACGGAATGACTTAGGGAGGGGGCGTGTGTCTCGATCATTGCACATATTCAATTCCTCAACCGAACTAACTCGGTTACTAACCGCGTTACTTTATTGGAAAATCGGAAGAAACAAACGTTTAAAAGAGAAATTTTCAATGATCAATTGTATTCATGAGTTTTTGCAGTCAATTGAATTCCTTTGAAATTCGCTCAGGGGGTTTTAGGTGAAGATTTGTGATTGTGAGTTAAAAAAGACAAAAAAAACTACCTTGTGTATTTTAGCTAGAATACTGATTGGAAAATGGAGTTTTATAGAATTCGAATTGAAGTTTTGTAGTTAAATCTTTTGAACAACAAAATCGAGTCTACTTCAATAAAAGGCATGGACAGAAACAGCACTGCAATAATCCCACACCAGCTAAGGCATGGCCATTTAGTGACAGTGAACTGCTAGCCAATTTTTTTTGAATAAAAAAAACAAATAATAAAGGAAAATGATCTGCGACGAATTTTGCTTTCTCAAATGCTACAAAGTGACGCCTGCGACCAATTCTCGCTTGCTGCGATTTTTCACCTCACGGACAAAGCGTAATTGGGTAAAACATAGTCTGAAAATCAGATGGCGGTATTTTGGAAAGGCTATTTCAAACTTTAAGACACTCTGAAAAAACTACATTTCCTAAAGTGATCAAATTTAAAAATAAGTTTGAAAATGCAAAAAACAACACGTCAATCATATTTTCGAGGATGTTAAGCAAGTTTTGCGACATTTGGTCGCCCCGCTGAAAAATGGGATATCTGTCCTTTCGCAGAGAAATAGAGATTAAAAACAGTTCAAAGGAATACAGTCAAATTTTGATTGTTTGTTTAGAAGCAAAACACTCTTTCGGCTGATTACGTATGCAAAGTGGCACTTAATTGTGAGTGCTAAAAGCTTGACTAATTAATTTTTTGTAATTTTTTTTATTAGACTCTGATAAAAATGAACAAGACTGCTTGTATCAGGTCGAAGCCCTGAATGCTCCGACTGCCATTGAATTGGTCTCGAATAGTTTTTGACGAATTGAATATTGGCAAAACTATCAATTTTAGACCGTTAAAGTAAAAATTCAGGCGTGAGAATTTGAGTCGTGTTTGGAATTGATAAAACTAATTAGCTGCTTCGTTTCAATTTCAAACGATTTTGTAGTGCGGGATAACTCTCAAGGTGTAAAATAAAAACGAGATTTTTAGACAGCCTTGTGGCAAGTTACTATAGTGTTGTACACACCCGCCTGGGCATATGCAGAACAAGCGATCAACCCAACGAGAGATAAGAGCCTTTTGTGCAGTTGGTTTGGAAAAAAAATCAACCCGAGCGTATATGTTTCTCACATTCTTCGAAAATCGGAACAATAAAGATTTTCCTCAGTCAATTTTTAGTCAAATTTCATATATTAAATTAATTAAGTCAAATTTATCTTAATTAATTAAGACCATTTATCCACGGGGGAAAGGACCAACACAAGAGCTGTACAGCTCATCACGGCGAACCTCTGTTGTGCCCCTGTTTAAGAACTACATGCAATTTTTTTGGTTATTTTTCTGGGCTGGGTAATGTTGCTTATTTGTTATGGTGATGTTACTTGTTTTGGTGCGGAGTCCTTCAAATTGAAAAATAGTGTCTAAGAAAAAAATCCTCATCTTTGGACTAGAAAGGAAACAGACAATAACACTGACGCCATTCCGTGATGGAGAACTTCAGAAGAAGTCTTTTAGTCCACCAGCAAAATTAAAAACTAATCATGACTAAATTTGAGGTGGTATAAAACTGTTAATGCCTGAAGATCAGGAAAACTGGCAAAGCAGCTCATAAGCCACCAATAGAAGGGCAAACTGACTGCAAAAGCAATGTGGGTATCACTGCAGCCACTACACAACAGAAAGAATGTACAGATGCGAAGTAAAATGAAGCAGCTGCTTTTTGCGTCGCAAACTCGTGATCTGTTATCTGAGTTTAAACGCATATGGTTCGACCAAAATCATCCCACTGGAACCTAATGCGAACGACAGTAAAGCGACAATAAAAAACTTTTGGGAGGATTGGACACCATTACCCGAGAAAATCTCAATGGAGCAAGCGGACCCATGGCATTGCTGGAGAGCCTGGTCGAAAAGAAAACTTTGTTTGAGATCTGGTATCAAAATTGGAAAGTATGCTATTGGCGAAACTTACCAAGGGTTCACATGAGAGAAAAACAAGTCCGTAGGAAAACAACCAGGTTAGAAAACATAAAGCAGCTAAAAAACAGAATCCAATCGGGAAAATACACCGAAACAAAGAAGAATAAATTGAGAACGAAAAGAATGAAGAAAGCAGAAAAAGCAGCAAACATTACCAAAATCGAGACGACCAAAAGAAATCGAGTTAAGCACAGCGAGACAGCGAGGCCATACTCTTTGAAGTGGATCAAAATTGGTTGATCCCCGTTAACTACATAAATCAAAACATCATGCTATTCAGGATCACAGACAGAACTCTGAAGGGACGCTAGCCAGGCCATAATAGCTGACCACTTGTTCTTGGACCGATTGGTCTGCATCACATGGTGGACCGACTGATGCTCCGAGTAAGGAAGTTGAGGCTACGAGGGAAAACCAAAGCAATGAAGAAGAGGCGCAAACGACAAAAGCTCAGAGGTTGACACTATTACAGCCGGGAAAGATTTTTAAAAAACCACGAAGTTTTGAAGCAAAAAGGGTTTGAAGCAAAAGAAAGCCAAAAAATTTAGAAAAAAAAATTTCGAGTGTCAGCAACATCATAAACGACAAACAAAACAAGCAAGGAACCTATCAATAAAAGTCTGGACATTCATAAGAAGCTGCGGCGGAACAGCCTGAATATTCCTAAAAAGACTGAACAAAAAGCAGGATATCGCACATCTTTTCCTGTTAGAACGCAATACAATTGTTGCAATTGTACTTGGGGGACGCGAAGGGATAAGGAACAAAGTACATGACAGCGAATGATTGATAGCAATCGGGGGACACCGAATGGTCGAATTGTTCAAGTGGAGAAGAGGTTGGTGGCGAACACCAAGGAAATCTCAGGAGGAGATTCAAAAGTACAACAATGGCGAGTAAGAAAAACTTAAACAGGATATAAACACATATCAAATTATATTTATTGTTTTTTATTCGTCTTTATTGTTATCAGGATAAAAACACATATCAAATTATATTTATTGTTTTATTTATTCTTTATTAGTGTCAAACCCCAGGTTGCTTACATTTCAGTCAGTGTTTAGAGCGGTAATTTTAAATCTGATGAA